TCTATTCATCTTTCTAGTTATTCCATTCTCTTGTTTTATATACTGGGGCCAGGTTAGCGTTTTGAAACTAAAATTTCCACCATTTGCTTTTTATTTATTTTGACCTTGAATTTTTTTATTTTTACAATTAGTTTTTAACAGATTCAATATAGTTCATAGATACAATTCTAAGAACATAGTGATACTTCCTTCCCCTCTCCCCCTCTTCCCCTTATCCTTCCCACCTCCTCCTTTATTTTCTTAGTTTTTGAGATAACATTTTAAATTTATATTACAGTAAAACATAATCATACTTCATCAAATAAGAAGTTTAATAAGTAAAAAATAAAAACACCGTAGTTTAGTGAGAATATAGGCAACGGCTATAAACAATAGTTGAGGCTGTTGCTGTGGCTAACTTGGTTAATCCTCCGCCTGTGACGCCGGCATCCCATATGGGCACACCGGGTTCTAGTCCTGGTTGCTCCTCTTCCAGTCCAGGTCTCTGCTGTGGCCTGGAAGGGCAGTGGAGGATGGCCCAAGTGCTTGGGCCCCTGCACCCGCATGGGAGACCAGACAGAAAGAATCTCCTGGCTTCGGATCAGCGCAGCGCCGGCCATAGCGGCCATTTAGGGAGTGAGCCAATGGAAGGAAGACGTTTCTCTCTGTCTCTATCACTGTCTAACTCTGCCTGTCAAAAAAAAAAAAAAAAAAAAGTTGAATGAAACAGTGACTGTTTCACCCCTATACAGTAAATTTTAACATAATCACAGATCATTAAACTTGCAGTAGTATAACTTCTTCTTTTTTTTGACAGGCAGAGTGGACAGTGAGAGAGAGAGACAGAAAGGTCTTCCTTTGCCGTTGGTTCACCCTCCAATGGCCGCCGTGGCCCGTGTGCTGCGGCCGGCGCACCGCGCTGATCCAATGGCAGGAGCCAGGTGCTTCTCCTGGTCTCCCATGAGGTGCAGGGCCCAAGTACTTGGGCCATCCTCCACTGCACTCCCTGGCCACAGCAGAGAGCTGGCCTGGAAGAGGGGCAACTGGGACAGAATCCGGTGCCCCGACTGGGACTAGAACCCGGTGTGCGGCGCCACAAGGCAGAGGATTAGCCTAGTGAGCTGTGGCGCTGGCCAAGTAGTATAACTTCTTATAAGGTTTTATTTATTTATTAGAGGGGCAGAGTTACAGAGAGAAAGATCTATCCACTGGTTTACTCCCCAAATGGCTGCAATGGCCAGGGCTGGGCCGATCTGAAGCCTGGAGCTAGGAGCTTGTTCCGGATCTCCCACGTGGGTGCAGGTGCCCAAGGACTTGGGCCATCTTCTACTGCTTTCCTAGGCCATAGCAGAGAGCTGGATTGGAAGTGGAGCAGCCAGGACATGAACTGGCACCTATATGGGATGTTGGCACAGCAGGCGGAGGCTTAGCCTACTATGACATAGCACCATCCCTAGTAGAATAAGATTCTTAACCATTGGTTCAACAAAGGTATAAAACAAAGTTTTACAAAACCATATTTGTAGCAGTACTAATGCATGCAGGCATATTTTTTGTTCTTTGTTTTTTATTTGTTTTGTTTTGGTTTTAAATTTTAGATCTCAATGTACAAGGGAGAACATGTGGTATTCGTCTTTTCTGTGTGTAGCTTATTTCATTCAACATGATGTCCTCTAGGCATTTGCTTTTATTCTTCTGAACAGAAATTCAGTGCACATTTGCATTTAAGATTATCTATAATCTGATTCTAAATTAGTCTTCCTAGGGCAGGCATTGTGTTAAGCCACTGCTTGGCCTGGGATATGAGTCCTGCCTAGCTTCCAGTGCACTTTCCTGCAAATGTGTGTGGGAAGCAGCATTGGATGGCCCAAATACTTGGGTTCCTGCCACCCACATGGGAGACCTGGAGAGAGTTCAGGTCTCCTGGTTTCATTCAGCCTGGTCCAGTCCCAGCTATTGCAGGAATTTGTGAGTGAACTAGTAGATGGAAGATGTTTCTATGTTTCTCGCACTGTTTCTCTGCCTTTTAAATATATAAACTTTTTTAAAAAAATAACATTTTAAAAGTTGTCCTAGGATTTCCTCACTGGAAATTTCTGTGTACATCAAATCAATTTTATTACTTAAAGCAAATACCATATGTCAGATACTGCATCATTGTTCGTGTTGATATTTTCAAATGCCCTTTAGTTCTGTTAATGCTTCCAGGGCTTACTTGAAGTGCCACTTATGCCCAAATGCATTGCTTTCCCTTCCAAGCTCTTCAGCTGACTTGTTCATATTTCTGTTTTAACACTCATTACATTATGTAATTTACTTGAAAAAACTTTTGAGTCACCACGAGCAAGGTCCTGTTTGAAAGCTAGAATGCAGTCTGCAGGGTGAGGATGAATATTGCTCATTATAGATTTTCAGTGTCTGCTTATGATGCGTATTGAATATTGAAATACTTTCCCCTACCAGAGGTCTCTTACTTTTCTAGTTAATTTTTTATTCAGCCTACAAGTAATTACGCAGAATCACATATCTGATTGTGTCACTTCCCTACTTTAAAACCTTTCGGTTTATTTAACTTTTAAATATTTATTTATTTATTTGAAAGTTACAGAGAGAGATTGAGATCTTCCATCTGCTGGGTCACTCCCCAAATGTACACAGTGGCCACGACTGGGCGAGGCTGAAGCCAGAAACCTAAGACTCCATCCAGGTCACCCACAAGGGTGACAGGGGCCCAGGAACTTGGCCATCTTCCACTGCTCCCCAGGTGCATTAGTAGGAAGCTTCATCCAAAGTGCAGCAGCCTGGATTCCAACTAGCACTCCAACTAGCACTAAGTTACTAGGCAGTAACTTGGCTGACTGTGCTGCAGCACTGGCCACCTTATTAAATATAATTTTAAAAGATTGTTTTGATGGGATCATTACTCAGAACAAGTAATTTTTAGAGACTTAATGCATTAACATATAGTGTGGGAGAGGGTTCCTATTTTCTTGTGCTTCCTTAAAAAGACAAGTTGTACATCTTATAATGGTTTCTTAGCTGCTTGGCAACCTGTTAGTGTCCTCCCCCACTTCTTAAAATTTTATTTATTTATTTGAAAAAGTTACAGAGAGAGAAGGAATGACAAAGAGAGATCATCTACTGGTTTACTCTCCAGATGGCTACAACAGCCAGGGCTGGGCCAGGCCAAAGCCTGGAGCCAGGAGCTTCATCTGGCTCTCCCACTTGGATGGCAGGGGCCCAAACGCTTGGGCTATCTCTTACTTTCCCCAGGCTGTTAGCAGAGCGTTAACTTCTGATCCAAGAACTTGGATCAGAAGTGGAGTATCTGGGCCGTGAACTGGTGCTCATGTAGGATGCTGGTGTCGCAGGCAGTGGCTTTACCTGCTTTGCTATAATGCAGGTCCTGTGAGTCCTCTTTATTACGTTACTTGCAGATGAAAATTATTTCTAAATTACTATACTCTTTGGCATGTACTTATCAACCTGACAGCAGTATGGAAAATACAGTGATTTATGGAGTACCTAGGTTTGCGCCCCAGCTATGCTCCTGATTCCAGCTTTCTGCTAATGTACACCCTGGGATCCACCAGATGATGACTCAAGCATCTGGGTCACTGCCACGCACAAAAGATAACTGGATTGAGTTCCTGTCTTCTGCCTGGTAGTTGTGGGCATTTGGGATGTGAACTAATGAATGCAAGTTTTCTGTGTCTTTTTCTCGGTCTCTTTGTTTCCTCAGATAAATATATTTAAAGAGTAGTGATTTAGTTATATTGCAAATGGCTTTTTATTTCCAAATCAAGTGCTTTGTTTTTCTTTATTATAATAATATGTTCTGTATAAAAATTCAAAAATGCTAAGAAATAGTCATTTCATAACTTTAATATATCTTTCTATGTTCTTTTCCATGCATCAGCTATACACACACACACACAGATAACATTAACTTATGTGTATTATTTAAAAAGTGGTCATAAATGTAACATTTCATCAGTAAGGATTTTGAGTGTAAGAACATCCTGAAAACTTAGATAAAATTGCTACCCTCAAAATACTTACAGTCCAGATGGATAACACAGTGCAAAAATATAAGAAGCAATATGAAGTTTAATACAGAGGCTAAACTATATGGTGTATATGAAGCACCCAGGAGGAATTAAAAAGTTAAGACTGTAAGGATCCGTGGGGGCGGGGCTGGGAGAGGTGAGCTGAGCTAAGTGGGCAGCATGTAGTATGAGCGAACTAAATGATAGCTGTTTGCTCTCATCTTCATCACAATGCCAAATTCTTGGTCTAGATGTCTAGGAGAATGTTGATTCCTTTTGCAAAAGTGGGTAAATTGAGAGGAAAAATTATCTTAGGAAGAACTTTGAAATGTCCAAGTGTTGTCAGGTGAAGATCTACTTCCTGAAGTGCATAAAGACACTAGAGTTTTGTTGGATAAAAATAGTCAAGACAGCTTTGAGAATCACCCACTTACAGAAAATAGATGAGTTCTCTGAAGGTGTTTGGACAGTAATTCATTTCATTTTATACTGTTTTTTAGTGCCAACTAAATAACCTGTCAAAATGCACAATTCCTATTTGTCAGTGAGTTATAAGAAGAAGGATTTGTAATTATTATACCAAGAGTTAAAAATCTCTATCTTTGAAATTCTGGCATTTCTTCTTGTTTGGCTCAAGGCTTAATATTTGGAAAATATTAAATAAGAATGTATAAGTATGTGTGAGAGACACAGAGAGAGAAAAAGAGGGAGGGAGAGGAAAAAGTGATATTTGTTCTCTTTTTCTCAAAAAGAATTCTCACATGTAGCTTAAGTTTCCAAGTTGTCAAGCTGTTTCTGTTCTAGTCTTTCTGGATCTCATTATTTCTATTTAGTTTTTCACTTAGAAGTCCTGTGTCACATATGTGAACAGCATTGGGAATGTGACCTTTCTCATGACCCTGTAAGCTAAGGTTTTGCTTTTCATTTCCCAGAATAAATGTCACTAAAACATACATTCTGCTTTCTCCTTAGGTAAAAATCTCTACACCAATGAATATGTAGCAATCAAACTGGTGAGTAGATCTTTGTTTATAGTAACTATGTTTTGATGCTGTCACTGCTCATATCTTTTTACAGGAGATAGTTGCAAGTATTCACAAAAATACTAATGCTGTTTTTTTGTTGCATATGATCCCACATAGTCGTTTTTCTTCAATTATACTCTTACAGTGACTGTATACTATATAACAAAATAGTTAGATGATGTTAACTGTAATATTAACAATGATGAGGAAAAAATCAGTCAATAAAAATATCTGGAAGAACTAGTAATTCTGTGAACTCTGTACTTTTCACGGTGCTATCTTTTTATTTATTTATTTATTTATTTAGACAGGCAGAGTTAGACAGTGAGAGAGAGAGAGACAGAAAGGTCTTCCTTTTCCGTTGGTTCACCCCCTAAGTGGCGGCTTCGGCCAGCATGTTGCGGCCGGCACACCGTGCTGACCTAAAGCCAGGAGCCAGGTGTTTCTCCTGGTCTCCCATGTGGGTGTAGGACCCAAGCACTTAGGCCATCCTCCACTGCACTCCCGGGCCATAGCAGAGAGCTGGCCTGGAAGAGGAGCAACCGGGACAGAATCCGGCGCCCGACCGGGACTAGAACCCGGTGTGCCAGAGCTGCAGGCGGAGGATTAGCCTAGTAAGCCGCGGCGCCAGCCCACAGTGCTATCTTAAAAAGATAAAATCATTAGAAAATCATTCTTGAACATGAATGATCCATTTTTTAAGTGTAAGGAGTTTATTACCATACTTAGAAAAAAAATCTGATTACCTAATAAATATGGCCTTAAAAAGCTGGCAGGAGTTCACTTCATAATGTTAATACTAGTCTTATGAATAATTTAGTCATTGAAAATAGCATCCAATTTTTAAGATTTTTTTTGAGAATTAATAATCTGGTCGGCGCCGTGGCTCACTAGGCTAATCCTCCGCCTTGCGGCGCCAACACACCGGGTTCTAGTCCCGGTCGGGGTGCCGGATTCTGTCCCGGTTGCCCCTCTTCCAGGCCAGCTCTCTGCTGTAGCCAGGGAGTGCAGTGGAGGATGGCCCAAGTGCTTGGGCCCTGCACCCCATGGGAGACCAGGATAAGTACCTGGCTCCTGCCATTGGATCAGCGCGATGCACCGGCCGCAGCGCGCCAGCCGCAGCGGCCATTGGAGGGTGAACCAATGGCAAAAGGAAGACCTTTCTCTCTGTCTCTCTCTCTCACTGTCCACTCTGCCTGTCAAAAAAAAAAAAAAAAAGAGAGAGAGAGAGAATTAATAATCTTAGGAAAATTATTTAACTTATATTTAAGGTTGATATCAAAGCATCTTTGATTCAGTATAACTAGTTCCTATGAAACTGTGTAAATGTCCTCTCAGTAAGTTTCCCAGAACTTACAGGGAATGTTTGGCTTTATTAGTTGGAAATCAGAAACATTCATGGTTGAAGGAAATAGCTTGAGATAATCAAATGCTGTGTTTTGTCTAAGGTATTGCATTTACCACATCCATACCTGTTCTGTTGTTGGTCCCTTCCTTTTGTTTATCTTGTCAGTTTGCGGAAGAATTAGGATTATCCTGGGGAGAACTGATAGTCATCAGTTTAGATTCTCTAAGGCAGATGGCAGCAGGGTTTAGCACAGGTAACTTAAAGAGAATGGGATGTGTGTGTGTGTTTATTTGGAACTCTTGGAGACCAGGGAGCAGAAAGAGAGGTGATATCTGTAACAGCACAGGTCAGTCATCTTCTCAGATTGACTATTAAAGGATGAACCTTTATTTATGTATAGGAAATTAATTGTTGTGTTAAAGTATTCTCTAGTACATCTTTGGTTTTACAAAGTTTTACTACTTTTAGAAGTTGGGATGATCTTTGATCATTTGTATCTATGACAGAAAGCAGTTCCTAAAATACTTCAGAATTTTACCTCATTGCTGTATTATTTATTATTGTTCCTTTATTTTTTAAGACTTCTTTTGAGACTTTTTATTAAGGGACAGATCTTTCTATCTAGATTTCTTCTACCAAGTTCATAGTATTTAACCTGTATAAATAAGCTTACGTAACATATTGTTGGCATAATTGGCCGGCCATTACATTTCATTTTACTTTTATGAAATGTTTATTCTGGCCTGGTGTTGTGGTTTGCAGCTGCTTAAGCCACCACCTGGGACACTGACATCCCATATCGGAGCACTGGTTCAAGTGCCAGCTCCTTGTCTTCTTCTTTTTTTTTTTTTTTTTTTTAAGACAGGCAGAGTGGACAGTGAGAGAAAGAGACAGAGAGAAAGGTCTTCCTTTTCCATTGGTTCACCCCCTAATGGCCGCTGCAGCCAGTGCACCACACTGATCCGATGGCAAGAGCCAGGTGCTTCTCCTGGTCTCCCATGTGGGTGCAGGGCCCAAGCACTTGGACTATCCTCCACTGCCTTCCCTGGGCCACAGCAGAGAGCTGCACTGGAAGAGGGGCAACCGGGACAGAATCCGGCACCCCAACCGGGACTAGAACCCAGTGTGCCGGCGCCACAGGCGGAGGATTAGCCTAGTGAGGCTTGGCGCCACAGGGGCCCTTGACACCCAAATGGGAAACCTAGTGGAGTTCTGGACTCCTGGCTTCATTGTGGATAATTTCCTCCTATTGTAGCCATCTGGGGAATGAACCAGCAGGTGGAAGATCTCTTTCTGTCTCTCTTTCTCTGTTAATTTGCCTGTCAAATAAGTAAATAAATCTTTAAAAAAAAAGCCACACTTCTGTTCTGATTCATATGGCCAATAATTAAAGCTAAAAATAGAATTCATAACATTTAGTATGGTGTGTCTCAGGCCCACATTCCTCTTTCAAATAAGTCTTAAATAAAGGTGCTTTAGAAAATGGTCTCATCTATGAGACTCGAGCTGCCGGGCTTATTTTCCAGGGAACATAGGAGGACAGTAATTGAACTCCTTTCATTGTAACAGCAAAATTTGCCTTAGGCCTCATTCTCCTACAAGGTAGCCATCTGCTGACAGTTTAGGATTTCAAGCAGCCATGTGTGTTCCAAAAAAACTGTGATTCTGGCAAATGGCCAGCCCTCTATGGCAAGATCATCAGCTTCTGGCATAGAAGTGCAAGGAAGCCCTGATACTGTTCTTTCAGTTCTGCTTTGTTTGGATCTTCATTAGGAACTCTTGTGTCTTAGATTTCTAAAAATATTTTAAAATATACACACATGTACAAAGTAAACAAAATAGTATAATAAGACCTTCTTTTTCTTATTGCCCTGATTTTAGTAGTTTTTTTGAACAGAGGTTTTTTAATGATTGCAGTTAGAAAAAAATCCTCATACTTCTGATCTAGCTGTGGACTCAGTGTTTTCAAGGCCCTTCATTCGCTGTGTTTTCGCAGAAGCTCCTTGAAGCCCCATTTGGCTGAACAGGCCACAGCCAGGAGCTGCTGGGGTTGCCTGAAAGGTGTAAGTTCCCAGCGTCTGTGATAAAAGCCCTTCATATCTGAGTGTATGATTAGGTTGTAGGCCTGCTTTCAGTCCTAGAACTCTAAAAAAGCGTTTAGCTTTTTAAATTCAAGTAACTTAGTTACCCAAGATTAGATTGAATATTTCCTATTACAATTTCCAACATGAAGACTAAGAATATTACATTTGAGGAAGGATCTGCCCCCTATGACTTCTTAGAATCCAGAAAGAACAGCCCCTTTTTTAGTGATTTCTATCAACCAGTAGTTCCATGTTGATTTGTTATCAGTTTCTGTTCACTTCCTTGTGAGTTGTTAGTGATTTTGCTAAAGGAGAATTTTGCTACTGGCTGCTTTGATGGTGATATAGTGGAAGATCTGCCATCACATACTGACTCTTCAGTATAATTAATCTTAAGTACTTTTTAAGTCCTGGAGGAGCTTGAAGTCGAACTCGAATGATTGCTGATTTTATACTCCAAGAAGGGTATAAGTTCTTGCTTCATAGAGCTCCCTTGGGATATGAAATATTTTAGTCTTCCTGGATTGAGTTAAATAGAACCTTAGAAGCAAAGGGTAAAATAGATAACAAGGAAAATTCTGAATTCTGTGATTTATGGATTTTGTATCTTAATGAAAATGTAGAAAACTCAAGTGAATTTAGGAAGGAGCCTTTCAAGATGATCAAAGCATTAAAAAATAGGACCAATGAGGAAAGATTAAAGGAATTGAAATTACTGTGCTTCAAGAAAGTCAAGAAATTGCTGATGAGTTTTATTTTATTTATAGTAATTTGAAGATAGCTATTATATTATTCACAGGTTATTTAGGGCCTGTTTTTATCTTGATATTGAAGACATAAGAGAAATAGGTTTAAGTTTCAGTGATGAGATTTGAACTAACTGTAAAGACCTTCCAAACTGTGAAACTCATGAATTATCGAGGGAAGCAGTGAAATTTCCTTTTTTGGAATCTGTCTTAAAAATAGGACAAATAACCCTTGAATGGAGCAAGTACATCCTTTTCAGAAAAGGATGCTGGGAAAGCTGCATATCCACAGGCAGTGAGGTTGGGCTCTTGCTTTATATCATCTATAAAAATAGATGGGTCAGAGACCTAAACACAAAATCTAAAACAATTAGCAGAAAACATTGGGGAAAAAGCATTATGACATTGGATTTAGCAGTAATTTCTTGGGTATGACACCAAAAATCACAAACACCAAAATTAAAAGTAGATAAGATAGATTTCTTTTTTTCCATGCATTTATTTTTTAACTTTTATTTAATAAATATAAATTTCCAAAGTACAGCTTATGGATTACAATAGTTCCCCCCCCATAACTTCCCTCCCACCCGCAACCCTCTCCTCTCCCACTCCCTCTCCCCTTTCATTCACATCAAGATTCACTTTCAATTATCTTTATATACAGAAGATCAATTTAGCATATATTAAGTAAAGATTTCAACAATTTGCACCCACACAGAAACACAAACACAAAGTGTAAAATACTGTTTGTGAATTAATGCTATAACTAGTACTCAATGTACAACACATTAAGGACAGAGATCCTACATG